AGAAATCCAGCTATTTCACGTTCATGGTCATTTGTGATAACAACAGAGTCTAGAGATCCAAGGAAATAAGTACGGAGAAGGTTCATAGCACCTTCTTTCTTGTGGAGATTTTTTAACATTTCATCGAACGTAGTGTATGTTGGTATTTCATTTTGCAAGTTGATTGCACTATAGAATAACCACTCAGCAAATGTCATGTTTGTTTTACCACAATTGCGGTACCATTTTCTCAGCCAGTTTTCGATCGCACGTCCGCAGAGATTAACGAGACCAGAATGCCTATATAAAAAAGGAAAATTTTCAATTCCCACAAAACCTTGAATATCAGAGTTTGCCTTACATACCCGTTTGAATTTCGGTAGATTATTTCTATAGCACGGTCCGCAACATGATATCCAATATCTGAATGATCCTCATGGAATTGTTGGAAAAGGCATTTTACGTCTTTTTTGGTAAACTTTGGATTAATAAAGGTGTCATATATGTTGAACGGCGAGTATTAATGATTGCTTGAGCTCGGCTGCAAGATGTTAAAAGTGCCGATTCCAATTATAGACTGCACAGCATATATGTCGTTGGTCTTGATTCCACGAACTTTGTTCAGGAAAGACATGCATATTGTATTGCTGATAGAAACACTGTCGAATTCGTCTACGAAGATAATGAGAGGATTTTCTGGTACTTGCTGCGTCCGCTCTGCACGAAAATTTCTCACTTCACTCCAAAGGTCATTCGACTTAGCGATAACATTTTGAAGTATCTCGACACTCGTGATGTCAGGTATAGGGATTTTCGATTGGAACATGGTTCCGTTTCTACCAAAGTAACCGTTAAGAGAACGGGTGAAAGCTTGACCAAAAGATCTCCAGAAGGTCTCCTCGTCACGCAAAGTGAGATCATGTAATGTTATGCTGCCAAGCAAAAGATGTTTGGATAAGGCAAATAATAAACCAAACAATGAATAAAATTAATAAAATTCTTACTAGACGCAGACATAGCCATATTTATGCAGCTGCTCCATGGCTCGCCACGTTCGAGTAGATTTGCCTGAGGCGCGGGGCCCATGCATTAATATGTATTCGCCCCGCATAACCTTCTGAATAAGAGGAATATTATAATCCCCTGGATCAATGAAGTAGTAATTCATACGTTCGTTTGGCTTGATGGTGCCATTTACCGCAAATTTTCTTTGTTTTGCTATAGACGACTTGGAAACTAATAGACAATACACACAGGTTTTAAAGATACTAAATATGAGTATTTATTCAGCAATTAATTAAACTATTCACCTTCATCTTCAGCGGATCTTTTCCTTCGAGGTGCAACTTGGGTAGGTTGAAAAAGATAATATCAGAAAACCAGATTACTATGTTACTCTACTCTAAGTACACACTACTCTATGACTAATCAGAAACGAAGAAAGAAAAATGTCCCCAACGCCCCGAGTCACCTGTCTGTGGGGCAAAGGAATCGAACAGGCAAGTTCGCATGAGCTCGTGTTCTTCTTCTGTAATAAGGTCATTATTCCGTGCTTTGTTTAGTTCTTCGAGTCGTTCTGTCAAAGAAAAATTCATTCTTAAAAGTTCTACGTTTAGTAGACAACACTCGTTCGCGATTTGCGATCTATCTAATATACTAATACGTGGCTTAATCAATGACGTATTGTTAGGAATTTTCTAGACCTTTTCACAATGTAACTATTGTTCCCCTGTTTTATGCAGAATGTGACCAATGATAATCAATGCGCAGAAGTTGCGCTTGTATTACAGTCGGAGAGATTTCCAAATTTGTAAATCAGATTCTAGAATAGTCTGCAGCAATCTGATTGACGTTTGACAATCTTAACATAGAAAAATTTGATGACGCTTTATCTCAAACACTTCAAATAAAAATTTGAAAACTAATGATAGTAACATACTTTTACAAATATACTTTTTCAGGATCCACGAAGGTTTACAAAGTGGTTGTCTAATAAATTGAGTTTAAAATTTACGCCTCGCTCTAGATGAGTGCAAAAGTAGTGCCAAAGACTTACCTTGCCTGTTCGAGTCTCTTACCAACAAATATGGTGAAAGTTAGTCAGCAAGATATGAGA